TCCCTCCCTCCCTCCCTCCTTCTCTCTCTCTCTCTCTAGAATTACTGCAACAGTTGTTCTCTCTCCCCACCAAGTTCACTATCAACACTGGTTGCCCTGGGTTCTCAGCACAGCAGCCAGAGTAATGCTTTAACATAAAAGTCAGATCCTGCCATCCTCGTGTTCAAATCCCTCCCATGGTTCCCCATCTCACCAGTGGTCTACATAACCCTACATGATCTGGTCACTTCTTACTATATTCCAGCCCCAAGCACTCTAGCTTCCTTGAATTCAAGCATACCAGGGCTGCTGCTATCTTAGGGCATTTGCTCTGGCTTTCTTCTTCCTGAATACTTCCCCAGGTACCATATGCCTAACTCCCTCGTCAACTTCAAGTCTTTTGCTCAAATGTTATCCTCTCATGACCACCTTATTTTAAATTGTAATCTGTGGCCTCCACCCCACACCGACCCCAGCACTCTCTATCCCCCTTATTCTGTTCTACTTTTTCTATTTTCCATTGCATTTACCACCTTCTGACATACTATTGATATATCATGGTTATTGCTTATTGCCTATGTCCTCTTGGTAGGAACAGGGATGGAGATCCTCACCTAGAACACTTGGCACATAGAAGGCATTTGATCAATACTTATTGAATGACTGGAATAAACAGAATAAACAGGAATTTGTCTATTCTTAAGTTCCAATCCACAGTTTAAAAAAATGGTTATTAGGCCTGTGAATATACTAAACATAATAATAAAAAAAAAAAACCCTCAATATTTTTATAAACCTAACTATAATCTATCAATAGTAGANATTTAAAAAAATGGTTATTAGGCCTGTGAATATACTAAACATAATAAAAAAAAAAAAAAAACCCTCAATATTTTTATAAACCTAACTATAATCTATCAATAGTAGAAAGTCTCTTTTTCCAGAAAGAGCGAACAATCAAAAATGTTAATTTTCATCAATCGGGTCTTAATAATTAATTAAATTGGGTGGCTTCTAGATCCCAAAATGCCTTCAGTTGTTGTTTTTTAAATAAACCTTAAAATTTTTTTAACTATAAAAATTAGCCTTATCATAATCTTAACTAGACTCATAATAACAATAGCAATGAAAACTCATAGATGTGTGGTAAAATCTATTTACTTGGCGACACTAACAAGATTCTTAACCTAAACATATTCATTTTCTAGGGGTTGGGGAGGGATAAAGGAAGTACTTAAAATGGTTTAAATGTCTATTCAACTCCACAGGATTTGCCAGCTAGTTTTGTTAATTGCTTAAAGGTGAAATGCTTAGAATTAGAATTATAAAATCTTTAAAACACATAAGGTCAAACTCCAGGTAAAGAAACCTCCAGTCAACTGAAAGATTCCATTCACTCATATTCATAAACAAAAAAATACCCAACACACTACTAAAGAGTGAGATAGCTCAGATGCGGGAATAGTCCCTCAGGTTTTCACTCATAACTCCCTAGCAAGTTAGGTTAAAATGCACACACAGGTGTCATCTAATACTCTGGGCCATGACTCACCCCTTAAGGCAAAGAAGTTACATAAGGGACAATGCAGCCGTGTCTGGAGAAAAGTGAATTCCAATCACCACTGCAAAGAGACTGGCAATGAAAAGGGCCCAGTATCATTACTATGCAGATGTAGGACTTCTCAAAGAAGACCTGCGTGAGGCACAGTGGGTCTAACCATATTGGTAGAATTGTTGCCTGAAATATCTGAATAACCTGATATATAAGCTCATTAGGAAATAAAACAGAAGAGAGACTCATTTCACTTTAACTTCCTCTGGTTTCCAAACTTTGTTCTGTCGTGGGGAGGGACAAAGGTCAGTCACTAAAGAGCCATTATATTCTCCATAATGACTTCAAGTAACTGACCCAAATAATTCTTCAAATGTTTGCTATGAAAAAGGAAAAGAAGTGGCAGGAGCATTACCAGACCCCCGCCAGGAAAGCCCCAAGAAGAAAGTTTGGGTAGCTACTCATTCCCTAACCCTACGTCTCTCAAGTGCATCGGCTGTAAGCTAAGGGTGTTCTAAAATTCTTTAACCTCAAGAGAACATTCTCTCATTCCAAAACACTTGTTTTAATTCCTGTTAGATGTTTAAAATATCAAATACACTTAGAACAATTTACACACACAAAATTTGATGACTTGTGCAAACTGACGAAACCTGACTAGAATGGCAACTACAAATTTTTAACTTATCTTCTTTTTGTACAGAAGATGCCAGGGATGAGCTCTCTAAATCCTCTAAAGCAGCAATTTTCAACATTTTTCATCTCGTGGCACACACAAACTAATTACTAAAATACTGCGGCACACCAAAATATATATTTTTTGCCAATCTGACCAAAAAAATAGGTATAATTTTGATTCATTCACATTGGACGTCAATTGTTGTGTTGTCTATTGTCATTTTTTAAATTTTTATTTGACAATCTAAAGAAAAAGAGGTCGGTGTGCCTGACTAAATAGTCAGTAATGCATGTTATAAAAATTCGTGCAGCACACCGCTTGAAAATTGCTGCTAATGCATTGTCATACTCCACAAAAATCTAGATTTGTACATTCTACTGTCTAGGCAGAAAACAGAGAACATTCTGTATATGAATTCAAATTATTTTCATACTTCATTACTTAATTCTTTTTAATGAGGCAATTACTTGTACAACTTTCTTTACATACATACACACATACACACACACACACACACACCCCAGACAGAAGGTGGTGGTAATAAAAAGTTCAGTGGATCAACATTTCAACATTATTCAGTATCCTTCCTTACCCCAGTCTGTTCCATCACCTGCACTTCTAGATTCACTGTCGCCTTCCTCTGAGGTAACCAAGAAGTCAAACTCCTTTAGAGCTTCTTCTGTATCTCGATCTTCACTGCTATCAGGCAATGCTTTTTTCCTAACAATCTAATGAAAAAATATGCCAAATTAAAATATATTGTGGAATTAATTTAAATAAAGGAGAAGGTATCCCTTTACCACTGAATGAGAAAACCGAATTATTTTCTTCAGAAAGTGTATCTTTGTTTTGTTAAATAACTGTAATACCAATTCAACTGTAGAAAACACAGATGACACTACATTTTAAAGCAATAATTGAAATTTTGTCCAATGACGGCTTGTTTTAAATAAACTAATGGTATCATATATTGAAAACACTGGAATATAAGACATGTATTTAAATTACAGGTAGATACACTATATCCCTGAAATACTGTAGTATGAGAACCACAACCAAATCTTACATTTCTTGGGTGCAGTTTGTGCAGTGTGCAGACATTCTAATCTTTTTTTTTTTTAAATATATCTTTATTGATTTCAGAGAGAGGAAAGGAGAGGGAGAGAGAGAGACAGAAACATCAATGATGAGAAAGTCACTGATCGAGCCCACAACCCGGGCATGTTCCCTGACCGGGAATCGAACCCCGATCGCCAGGATCCTAGGTCGACGCTCAACCGCTAAGCCACGACTGGCCGGGCCAGACATTCTAATCTAACCAAAGAAAGAAACACTTCATAAAACATTGCAAGAGCTTTCAGAATATAACCATGATAAATTTTAACTCTTATACATCATTCCCTTAAAAATTTAATCACAAAAACTACAAACTCATAATACATGCCTCAAGACTCAGAAGGTATTCTGGCGGGGGGCTGGGGGTCGGGAAATTCCCATTATTTCTCCTGTCCCAATCCTGCATTAATTTTCTCTAATAGCTCTGTATTTATTCAAGTTTTTCCTAAAATATGGATGTTTCAGAGTGAGACTTGACTTAGATTTAATAGCAAATCAAATCCAGCAGGGCTGTTATATCTCATTTTTATATATTTAGGAATATCTCTGGAATCACAAATCCAGTTGGAAGATTAAAACTTAGGCTTAATGCATGTAGAGATAATTTTTGAGATCTATATGTCAATACTTTTTATTAATTATCTCCTTTTTGGTCACCTCCACCACCAGAAGCCCAAAGAAATTAGGACAACTGGTTTGCAGCTTCCTTTGATAAAATGGACTCAGTATCTCAACTTCTCCAGACCTCTCAGCCTTTTCACGTCATGCAAAATAGAAACAGCATGATCTGATCAAACTTTATCACTGTACTATTCTGAGTGGTTAAAATTATAATGGTTCAACATATAGATCAATGGTACAGACTAGAGACTCTAGAAAGAGACTCTGAGAGAGAACGATTACCTGATTTGGGTGGCCCTGTTCTCATGCTTGTGACTGATACCACTTGTCAATCACAGCACTTTTCATCTAAGACCAGATACAGGCTCAGGAATCCTCCTCAGTGCAGCACTCCAGGGAGCCACTATCATAAAGGGAAGCTGGCACCATGGATGAAACCTGATCTGCCCTAACCATCCTGGTGCACATAAACACTGCTGAGGAGAAATCGAGGATTCTTTAATGATGCTAGAATAATTAGTTTAGCTATTTAGAATATTTCTATGAAACCAAGAAACACTTTTAATTTTATAGCATTTTCCAATACCATCTAGTAAGTCTATTAAACATAAAAAGCAAGATCTGTTTGACAGAATGTAAACAGAAAACCTATGCTAAAGGTGTATTCTTTTGTAAGTATTCACAAGCCAGATTATTACTATATGGTAATAAAATTACTATATGGTAATAATCTGTTCTAATTTTCCCTGGGCAGGCAGACTACAGTAGAAATGTCTTTTAAGAGCTATACCAACAGAAGACGTTCGTCTTCATAGTTCCAGATACAAATGCAATGCCTAACCCACCTACCTTTACCCTACAGGCTTGATCCCTCCCTTTTCGTGACCCTGATGGAACTTATGACAGAAAACAGAGGGATCATCACCAACATCCTATAGATAGAGAATAGAGAATCCATATTCTCAATGCCTGAAAAAAAGGGCAGGGAAAACACGGAAGTATCTGGAACCATAAATTCAAAGTCTGAATGTATTTTCAACATTAGATATTACTAATTATAGTGTTAAGTCACAAAACTAACCTTCTGGGAAAAACCTGTTTCTAGGTCTCCTCTCTATATAACCTAACAAAGAAGGAAGATAAATGGTAAGTTGAAAACCACTGTCTATCAAGTATCTCATTTAAATCAAAAAACAAAAATCCCTGTATTTTGAATGGCTAGACATAAAAGAAAAGTGAACTGTAGTTACCAATGGAGAGTAGGATTAGTAAATGGGAATGGGTGGGGTTTGCTGTAATAAGCATGTATTACTTTTCTTCATTATATCTTAAGGTTCCACTCCACTCCTACCTTCAATAGCTTACGAATCAATTAAAAAAATTAAGACAAACACAAAAAAGATACCAGTTGCACAGGGGGCTAAGATTAGTAAAAGGGATAGGCTGTCACTTTGAAACCCATTAAAAGAGGCATAACACAAACAGCTGTAAGATTTTTACACTATGACTAAAACAACAGTTAATTATCCTGCATCCCATTAGCTCTTCCTACCAAAGTGTTGGAATGTGGAGACAATGTGCTGCTGAAGTTATCTTTCATGTAGTTCAAAACTGATCACATTTGATGGGCATACATAATTTCAAGATCATTATTACACTTAACAAATGATATGATGATGAGAATGCTCATAATGAATGGTAAAAAAAATCGATGAAGAGGTTGAGGTTCAGGAAAGAGGGACATGGAGAGGAGAAAAATGATCCAGAATGTAACCTGAAGAACAATCAAATTCCAACAGAGGGCAAAGGGCAAGAAAGGAGAAGGGACATATGTACCTTTTGAAGACACTGTACTATAGAAGAGCTTAAACAAAATCAACTGCTACTAAGAGCTTTATGTTTCTATATTTTCTTAGTTGAACCTAGTAAACTATTTTGATTAAAGAAATCAAGTAACATTTTAAAAAACCTGTTTGTTCTACTAAGCAGTAACAGGATAATTATCAGCCATCCTTTCTTTATATAAAGCACTGCAATAAATCTTCTAAGTCATGCTTATTCACTGCTACGTAGAGTTAGGTTTTGAAAGTCCTTTTGGCATGTTGCTATTATACTGCAGCTGTGAAAATTAATGTACTATATCATAAGAGTTAGTGAAACTATTATGAAAAAAACAATTATTTGTTTAGAAATATTTTTTCCGGAAGAACTACAAAAATTTTTTAATTCAATGTTTCAATGGGGTTAAGTATTTTTACATTAGCTGTGCCTTCATTACTTGGTCAAAGAATTGCTATGACCTATACTAACTGGAAGACAAGGTATTTGTGAATTTGATTACTTAAAAAGAAACCAGTTTATGGTTAGGAATGTCTAGTGAGACCATACTTAATAGTTAAAATAACCAGCTTACAGATTTTAAAAATATCTAAACTGATGTAATTACAACTAACAGAAACTCAGAGTGTCATAGCTAGTTATTATTTACCACTAAGCTATGAACACATTCTTCTGGCAGGAAAACAGTGTCTCAGCGCCACCATCTCACAGAAGTCACAAGGGAGGAGAGAACCTCCAGGTGAGCAGACAACGGCTGCCACTCAAGCCTGGGCATTTTCTTCAACTGCAGCAAATCAATGCATATTTATGACTATTTGTTTGGGCAATAGAAAGAGGGAGGGGAGAGGGTAACTTCTCAAAGCTCAAATAATATCAATGGCAGGGCTGAATCAGCAGAATACAACTGAAGAGTGGCCCAGGGAAATAATAATCTGGAAGTAATAATTTGAGAGTCTCTGATGGAAGCAGAGGCATAAAGAACAAAGAAGTTGCACTTAGAGAGCACTTTATAGTTAAACACACCATTTTCATATGTAGTGTCTCATTTATTCTTCACAAAATCCTCTGGGGATAAGATGGTATGTATTATAATCCTCACTTTACAAACTAAAAGGCTAAGCCTGAAGGATTAATAAGCACAGACAACTGATAACAAAATGGGGACTGAAACCCAAGGCTTTTCTGACTTCAGGTCCAGTCTGCTTTGTATTACCTTACATCCCTCCTCCCTCTTCTTAAATAAAAGTGGAAGAGGGAACATGAACATCTTCCTAGCGAAGCAAAGCGTGCCCTCTCCTCTTACTCTAAAAACAGGAGGAAGGGGGAGAAGGGAGCTGAGGCAGAAAAGAGTAACGGGCAAGAAGAGAGGGGAGACGGGAAAGGGAGAAGGGGGCAAGGGAGAGGGGAGAAGGGGCAGGGCAGAGCAGGGAGGGGGAGGGGAAGGGGGAAGGAGCAAGTCAGAGACATCTCTTATTCTAGGAAACTACCGAGAGGGTCAACTAACTTATAAAGACATAAACAAAACTACCGAAAACCCTAAACAAGCTTCAAGAAATAACAGAAGAGTCCTGAAGCTCTGTAGACCATGTCCACCAAAGCAACCCTGACAAGAACAAAACTGTATCACTGAGCGCTGATGCCAGTCACCATCAGGCACCATAACGGGTCTGTCAGTTCCATTGTCTTACAGCGGCACACAACAGGGCACTGTTACAACACACAACGTTCACCATATTCACCAGCTCTAGAGAAATGTCGAAATGTGTAATGATTAACAAAAAGTCGAAGAATGGGGCCCTTAACAGAAAGCTGCTATACTAAAAGTATTCTTGATGGTGAAATCAATACTAAAAACTCTTCTATATTTCCTCAAATTCATGAAAAAAAAAAAAGTTAAGGGTTTAGGTTGAGAGAACATATTATTTTTACAGTGTGCATAATAGTCCCTAAAAATATTTATATCCGAGTTATCCAGCTCACCGTCGACGTGTCGGTGATGCTCTTCCCTCGTCCGTCGATGTCGTCGTCGTCATCGTCATCGCTGAAGTCCGCAGCTGCGCTCCCAGGGAATTTGAAATTATCCAGCACAGAGGCAGGCTCTGTTAACTCAGATTTCCTGGTTAAAACATGCACATCTTGCTCAATTACATTTTTAAACCTAACATAAGAATTAATCTGTGATATGATGCACTAACTTCTGTTTATATTGTAACTATGATCCCTCACATCACATTATGACTGACAATGATTCTTATCCATTATATTTCCATGGATTTTATTTGGAAAGACAACATAGGAAGTGATTACTTTTTAAAGTACTTTGCAACCCTACCTATTCAGATTAATGGTAATCTAATGTAAAGAACTCCCCCTCCTGATTCAGAAGTATTTAGATCCTAAGTTAACTTTCATGTATTTGTTTTTAAATATATTTTTTCTCTCTGCAACTACTTTTCTCTATTCTTTCCCTCTATGCAACTCTTCCTATGACACATAAGTTTCCATAACTACATAACTAGAAGATGTCATTTTTCTCTGATGCAATCTTATCTCTCTGAACAGCTGAAAAAAGCAAAGGCGGACATGAAGTTACTAAATACAATGTATTAGTCAAATCAACATTACTGCAAAACTTCATCCTATCGATGAGCATTAAGCTTTTGGAAATGATTTCAAATATGTAAGATTTTAATTTAGGTCCCTAAAAATAAATCTAGTAAACAATTTCCTAATGATCAGAAAGGATGATTTCCCTCTAGTTCACTAAAAAATGTTTTAGAAAAGGCATGTCCATAAAAAAATTTAGCCCCAACTATGGACAAAATTTTCAAAACAGATAAATAATAAACTTCAAATCTGCTGGAAGCTATGTTTGACGTTTTTCCACCCTTTTCTTCATCTCTACATAAATTAGACATTCAGAATAATTCTCTTGTCGGCTTCAAAAGACAGGTCAGGCCAAAACACAAGACAACTAAAGTGGTCTTTATATTGACTTAACCCTTTAGGTCAAACTATAACCAAGAATGCCTACATTGTCTATGTCTGCACAGAGAAGCAATCTACATCTCACATTTACAAAAACAATTTAATGTAGTTTTAATTACTAATGAATACATTTAAGAAAGCTCGAATAACATCTGTTTACGGAAGTCATATTTTTTTAACCTTTACCTAAATCTCATAATTTTAGCTTATGGTCCAGATATCAGAAACTATGTTCTCACTAGAACAGCAATTTTCAACCTTTTTCATCTCATGGCACACAGAAACTAATTACTAAAATTCTGTGGCATGCCAAAAAATATATTGCTGATCTGACAAAAAAAATTGGTATAATTTTGATTCATTCACACCAGCTGGCTATTGCTGTGCTGGCTGTTGTCATTTTTTAATCTGACAATCTAAAGGGAAAGAATTCAGGGCCCCTGACTAAATAATCAAGTATTGCATGTTTTAAAAAGTATTGCGGCACACTGGTTGAAAATGCTGTACTAGAACACATATAGAATTTAATTAAAACCATTTTTTCAGCCTAAACAAACATTAAAAGAAAGTGACATCATATTTAGACTTTCACAGAACCTTTTTTTATTTCTTCAAAAATCCTGCCAATTTTTTTTCAATAAAGAAGAACCTTCTTGCCCTGGGGCAGCTCAGTTGGTTGGACCATCAACCCGTACACCAAAAGGTAGTGGGTTTGATACCCGTCCAGGCACATACCCGGGTTTCAGGTTTCGATCCCCATCCGGGCACACACAGGAGGCAACCGATAGATGTTTCTGTCTTGCATGAATATGTCTCTTTCCCTCCCCCTCCCTCCCTCCTCTAAAATCAATAAATATATCCTCGGGGGAGGAGAAAGAAAGAAAATAAAGATGACTCTCCTTTAACTTTTCATGTTCCTTTTAGCAGAATTACATATAGCTGTATGATACATGATCCAAAAAACAAAACATTTCAAACAGCTATTGAATTTTTCACACTTACTCTGTCAATTAAAAATATATACTTAAAATACATATTTTTCAAAGGAAAGCTGAGTTACAGCATTACCAGATAAACAAAAGTGGCTAAGGTAAGGTTTACTTCTAAAAAATTTGTGTATTTATGTGATTTCTAGGTTACAGAAATAAAATTTCACTCTTAAAGATTTGAACTGAATTTCCAAAATAAGATCTTTTATGAAGTTTTAATAGTAACTAAGCTTCAAGATATTAAAATCTGTATTAAGTCCATAAATTTCAAGCAAATATCTTAAATAAAAAATATTAAAATATCATAACTATGTTATCTTCTACCAAATGAATTTTAAATTTTTATTAAACTTTATTCTGATTATTTCTGTAGCAGTATCTAAAAGTGCAAGTATAAATATCACCCATAAGTCAAATATATTTAATAAAAACTAAAGTTATAGCTAAAACACTTTCCAGACAAAATACTTACCCAATCATTGCTGTATCTTTAACTTCACCTTCTGTGCCGTTTATAACTGAGTCCTGATTTTTGTCATCTTCCCTGTCCGTGACATCACTTGAAAAGCCCAACAAAGCTCGCACTCGTTTAGATTTCACATCTAGAATAGTATCTGTGTAACCCACCTCCTGTAGATACCTGTGTATGAAGAGGATCCTTACAATTCAGCCATACTGGATGAGCATTCTATAACTTAATACATAAATTAAAGTATTTCTTTAAATTCACTGCCTGCATAAGACTTAACAGAATAGTACTATGCTAGTATGACTTGCTAATAATCTTCCAGATGGAGCGGTCTCTTGCAGATGGAGCTGGCTCTTGCAGTACCAGTCTCTATGGTCACTGAGAAAAATCAGAGAACTATACAATACACCATTCATTATATTTATCAAAGAAGCTGTTCCTTAATATACCTCACAGCACACACATTCTTTCTTCTAGGCAGGGTTGGAGTAATCTCACTCTCAGATAAATTACTATTTCATGATAGTAATTATTATAACCAGTAGTCTTTTTACATTTCTGATGTAAAGTGTCATTGTTTGAGATCTAAAGAGAATGTTTCTAGCATACATAGTTTCCTCCATGACATACAAGAAGAAAATATAATCCAAAGAGTCACTTCTATAGGAGGAAAGCGTCTATCCTGGGACAACTGTAAAATAAAAAATGTAGACCACAATTCAGTTGTGGAATGTGGGATGCCTGTGTGCACAGGGAGAGGGGCACGTGGCAGAGGGGCAGCAGCACAGAATAAAAGAGAATAGGCTTTATATTTAGAGTTAGAACTGGATCTAAACACCATTTCTGCTACTTTCTTCCTGTGTTACTTTAATTCTGTTGAACCTCAGCTTTCTTTCCTTAAAAGAGACATACTTAGTACACTGCCTGGCATCTAGGCACTCAATATCTATTAACAAAGATGACGAAAAAATAAGATCAAAAGTGGTAGAGGCAGGAACATCAATAAGGCAAGTGTCACTAAGAGCATCATTAATAAACATGACGGACAAGCGCCAGTCTATGGGACGAGGGAGAAAATGAAGGTAAACAAGGTAACCAGTCTAAGGGAAGTTTATTTCAGTGTCTGGTATTATAGTTATTACAGCGCAAAGNTGCTAGGCATTAACTTATAAGTAAGCGCCAGTCTATGGGACGAGGGAGAAAATGAAGGTAAACAAGGTAACCAGTCTAAGGGAAGTTTATTTCAGTGTCTGGTATTATAGTTATTACAGCGCAAAGAGATCTCTCACAAAGATATGTGGCCAAAATGGAGTAAGTGCATCCTATCAAATCAAGACACTCATTTTTCAATCCTATTCAATATTTATAGCAAGGGATTGATTAAAATATAGATAATAAATTTCTAATTTTCCTAAATTTAATCAGTTGTTCTTGCAAAGTAATACAAAGGTACTATGTTTCTCCATTTTTAACAAATAATATTTGATACATACTTCACTTTGGCAACAAAATCACATAGCAAATAACTGCTACAAGAACTGCGCTTTCCAAAGATAAGTTGGCTTTACTAAACAGTTACTTCCTCATTCACTGCTAAAATGTCACCTTTCCTTTAAGGGGCAGCTATGAGTCTTTTAAAGTTTCTGCAAATATCTCTTGGATTGCTCACTGTAATAACTTCCCATGAAAAAAATCAGCAGATTATGAACACATATTTATTTATATAAGGAAAATGCTTAAATCATATTTAAGACCAAAGTGAGGGCACTAGTGAAAAATCCATTTATTAAATATTAATGAAAACTCATTTTCCTCTAACTTCAAGTAGAAGAAAAATAGATATGTGAGGCATTTTACTATTCTCTTCCCATCATCAAGAGGCACCTATTGGAAATCATAGATTTAGACTATTGACAGTGACCTCAAAAATCCAAAACAAGCAGCAAATTTCATAGAGTACTGAGGCACAAACCTGAACNAACAGCTGGCAGGCACCTATTGGAAATCATAGATTTAGACTATTGACAGTGACCTCAAAAATCCAAAACAAGCAGCAAATTTCATAGAGTACTGAGGCACAAACCTGAACACCAGTTTCAAATGTGATATGCAAGGACCAGGCACTGAGCTGGTGTGTGGGTCTAAGTCCTGACATCTGAACCTCAACCCAGCTTTGTTCCCTCTTTATAGTCTCAAATACCCATTTTATCGGAGAAAGGACATGTTAGTGCAATATTTGCAAATTTGGGAAAATCGGAAAGTTCTCCAATCAATTAAAAACAAAAATCTTAAGAACACACAATTTACATATAAATACTAATTAAACTCATATTAAAACTTGTATATTCATGTATAAAAGATGCAAAGAATAACTTCAAGAGTATAAAATTCTTTAAACTATAAATTTAAGTGTAATAAAATCTAGAAGCTTAAAACTGTACTCTTTTTGATGAAGATAAAATTACGAAAATAATTTATTCTTGTTAATTCTTATTAATATTTAATAAAATATAAATTCCACTACAGGGGGAAAATATGTTTAACATGAAAACGGAAAAGTAATTCAATTAAGCTTTTTCACAGCAGCAGCATAATAATGAAATAAATTATTCTACTGAGTTGAAAATACAAAACAAAAATAATCTCATGAAAATATATGCTTTTCTTTAGTTTGACCATGAGTTACTTACTGTCTGAGTAGTTGTCGACCTTGTTTCCACATTAACTGGCTATTTTGTTGTGGCTGCACCTCTGTTTCATTACCTTCATCTAGGAAACATTAAATCATAATAAAACTGACTTGTCATATACATTAGAGGGCATCTCCATTCATAAAAAGTATCCAAAAAATGTGTAAGATTAATAATATGTAAAGCTGCACTGTAACGTATATTTCAGGACAAGGTAAATTCTGTTTTTAAGTCAAATTTCCATAACAAAACTCTAAATTCATTACTGCTACTGGATTCCCTTCAGAGTTATAGAACTAAAATAAGGACATTTTCCAAATCTTTAGGCAGCCTGAGAAGTTTCCTCCAGGATAAGCCTATCCATATCAAGTCACACAATTAAGAGTTCAATAGAAGTATTATGAAGCACCACATCAGAATTAGAACAAAATACCCAGGAATGATGGCTTTTTAAAAAGCCAGTTTGATTAAAGAATAGGAAATAATCTCAGTTCAAATCTATTTCCTTTACTAATTATTAAATGAAAACCTCAAGTATTCTTTTTAAGAAACTGTTCGAATGAAAATCTCATAGAGCCTTCCTTGTAAAGCTTTAAATCCATCATTTGATAGAAGCTGAATCCTTTCAAGAAGGTAGTAAAATAAAAAGAGCCTTCTCCATGATAAGTCTGGACTAAAGAATTTCTAAATTATGCTATGGCTCTACTTTTAAGTACAAAAAAAGTTCACACTTTCCATCAGTCCTTGAATAAACTATAAGAAACTGTGATCTTTATACGGTTTTATTCAAGTGAAGATATAAGACTAGCGAAATCTATTTCATGATATTGATATTACACATTTACTGTGCTTCAGATGCTGTGTTAAAATGTATACATTATCTCTTTTAATCTTTTTTTTTAAATCCTCACCCGAGGACATTTTGTCCATTGATTTCTAGAGAGTAGAAGAGAGGAAGGAGTGGAGGAAGGGGAGAAAGAGAGAGAAACAGAGAGAAACATCAATGTGAGAGAGACACACCAATCAGCAGTCTCCTGCACGCACCTGGATCGGGCGAGGACCCTGCAACCAAGGTACATGCCCTTCACCGGGAATCGAACCTGAGACCCTTTGGTCTGAGGGCCAATGCTCTAACCACTGAGAAACTGGTGAGGGCATCTCTTTTAATCTTTACAAACTCAAAAAATAGGTGTTATTACTAGCCTCATTTTAAAGACGAGAAATATGAGTTTTACAGTTAATTTTAAGGTTTCTAAGTTAGAAGTAGAGTTTAAGCGTTGAAGTCATGTCTGACTCCAGAGCTCACGTATTTTCCTCCATATGCTATCACTACAATGATACGAAATTAGAGAAATAAGTAAATTTAAAAAATTAGATCTTGCACGTTCATTTTTCTCCTAAAATAACAAGGCAAAGCTCTGTGATATACCAAAGAAATATCAGTAGAGTAGATGGAGGGTGGGAAGGGAGGTCAGGGGGATTAAGTTAACTCAAAAAGGAAAATTACTTCGGGATAACTTCAGAGAGTATACTTTCTTTTTTTTTAAAAAGGCAAAAACAAAGGTCTCAATACTAAGGAAAAATGATACATCCTGTTTTCACTGACCCACAAATTCAGGAACTGTGTATATAACATAGTATGTTCCAATATGTCCCCTTCTTAAGTCAAGTGAGTAAACTATACTTGCCAAGTAGGAACATTTATACTGACACTTCAAAAAACTAAAATTTCAGATGTAAAAGAACTTTTGAGGTCATCTAATTTCCCATCAGAACAGGCCTAAATCCTTTCTATACCATCCTCAGATATCCTCAACTGCCTTTGCCTACTCTGGCAGCTAGTGATGTTAACAAAGTGTGGTACATCCATTCAATGGAATACTACTCAATAGGAACAAGGAACGAAATACTGATGCATAATTTCAAATGCCTTATGCCAAGTGAGAGAAGCTAGAATCAAAGGTTACATTTTGTATGACTCTGGAATCCATATGACTTTCTGGAAAAGGAAAAACTATAGAAACAGAAACAGATTAGTGGTTGCAAGATTAGAGTGTAAAGGGAGGGAATGATTACAAAGGGTAGTAGTAACAAGACTATATGTGTTTGTCAAGGTACTAGATAGGTGAATTTTACTGCATGAAAATTATAACAATAAATGAATTAAACCAAATCCTCAAACTCTTTAAAAAAAAAAGTATATTCTTATACTGAGATAAAATCTGACTCTCTGGGTAACATTTGACATTTACAACAACAAAAGTCTGAGGTTTAAAAAAAACACAACTCTTGCACATGTGAACTTGATTTTCCCCACATTTCCTTATCTAGGCTAACCTCACAGTTCTCTCAATGGTAGTAAGTAGTCACCAACTATCGGAGTCATTCTTACCTTATCAACTTCAAAAAGTGACATTATACAAAAGCAAAGATTTTAAAGTGGGTAAGAGTTGTATTTCTTGGCAATATTAAAAGTATTTGACTGGCACTTCCAGTCAAGTTGGAATGGACCCATTTACCCTCCTGCTTGAAACAACTATAAAACAAAATAGATGAAACAACGGTTAAGGCACTGGACATCACACAACAGAGGAGAGCCAGCCCTGAGATGATCCCCGAGAGAACGGAAACAAACAGGCAAGCCCCATAACTGTTCCAGTTTACTGCCTTAATAGTTTCCAGATCACAGCATAAGGAGGGGGAACTCAAATATCTGAAGAAATAATGGCTGAAATGTGCCATATTTCATGAAAACCATAAAACCATAGATCCAAAAAACTTGACAAACCCCAGCCCAAGAAACACTGGGGGGCAGGGGGGCACCAAACCACATCATAATAAAATTGATTAAAGATGAAGAAAAAAATCTCAAGTGTAGCCAGAGAAAAAGGTCACATTCTATACACCAGAACTATGATAAGGATGACAGAAGACAGTTCATTAGAATCAATTCACAGGAAAAATAAAGACTTTTTCAAGATACAAAAGCTAATCGTAATAGCAGCCCATATTACAAGATATGTTAAAGAAAGTCCTTAGTAAGACAGGAAGAAAATTATACCAGAAAATATGAATCCATACAAAGGAATACGAGTACTGGAAATATTTACTTTTTATAGTACTCAAATGTCTTTAAAAGAGAATTGACTGTTGAAACAAAAACAATGTAGTGAGTGGTTTATAACATAAATAGGAGTGAAATATATGAAACAGTCACACAAAGACAGGACAGATGCAAGTACACAGTAATAAGCATCTCATACAACACATGAAGTCGTACATTATCACTTAAAGATAGACTGTCATAAGTTATAAACCCTAAACAAAGAGTTATAGCTAATAGGTCAGCAAAAATAATAAAATGGAATCATAAAAATTACTAGATTAATCCAAAAGAAATCTGACAAAGAGGAAAAGGAAGCAAAGAATAAACTGAACAAATAGCAAGGTGGTAGCTTTAAACCTAACCATATCACACTAAATATAAACGGTCTAAATACTTCAATTAAAAGGCTGAATTTGCCCTGGCTGGGTAGCTCAGCTGGTTAGAGTGTCATCCCGATATGCCAAGGTTGAGGGTTTGATCCCCAGTCATGGAACATACAAGATTCAACCAATAAATGCATAAATAAGTGGAACAACAAACTGATGTTACTCGTCCTTCAGATGTCAACTTTAAATATCACTTACTGCAATAAGCATTCCTGGACCACTAGATTTGGTTCCCCTGCTATTATGCTCTGTAACACAAACCTATTACCTTCCCCATTATGCATGTCGCTTTATTGTAATCACTTTTTTCTGACCTTCCCTGTAAAAATCCAATAGGGCACTATCATCTTATTCACAAAATTTGGGGCTGGGTCTGACAAGTATTACATATTTAATATCTGTAAGAGGGATACGTAGTTTGAAAGATCAATACATGGAATAATAACTAGGTACTTAGTACTGTATACTAAGAAAATAAACCTGGGAATTAGAAATTATTCCCAGAATTTTTCCCAGTTTACAGATAAGGAATGGAGCAAACTCAGAGATATTAGGTAATATCATAGGCATTTAAAGAGTTAGGGCAGAGTCAAACTTACATGTATCTGATTTGAAAGCACAAACTTTTCCTACTGAACCACACTGTTTACTTATAAACATTTTGTATATATTGCAACTAGGCCTTTATACCTCTAAATTGATATCTAAAAAGTAGGAAATAAACTTTTTAATGTAAAAGTACTGGTTAAAACCACTCCTTTGAATTAGGCAATATAATTTTAGGACAGTCTTTAACAAATAGCCTAGATATAAAAGAAAATGCACTTATAAAAATTTAAGTGCATCTCAAGTTAAGAGATACCAAAGTAAAAGATAGAACAATTTAAAAACAAAGGAAAAAATATGTCAATGATCAGGTATTACTGTATTTCTCAAGATTCAATATTGAACTGTAGAAGCAAGTTAGTAACTTTACTACACTGAACTGAACTATAAAATCAGCTGCACATTTAGAACTTACTTTGTGAAGTTCTTTCATAAACTGTTGTATGCAGAAGCAGTGTGGTAAAATGGGAAAAATATGAATTTTGGAGTCAGACAAACCTGCGCTCAGATTCATATTCCCATTACTTAAGTTATGTGACCTTGAGCAAATTTCTCCATTATTCTGGGTTTAAATTTCATATAGTTAAAATGAGGATAATGTTATCTTTATTAAATAACTATTTTAAAATTACAGTTAATATACATAAAGCCTCTAGCACAAGGCAAGTATTTCAGTAAATGATATAAACAATAGTTGGTATCTTCAGATAATTGATCCAGATATTTAATCTGAAATTATGTCCAAAACACAATCACCTAAAACATGGCAATAACTTTTTTTTTAATTTATCTTTATTGTTGAAAGCATTACAGGTGTCCCCCCTTTTCCTCCCACTGATCCCCTCCAACCTGCACCCACCCCACCCCCAGGCCTTCCACATCATGGCAGTAACTTTTGAACAACTTTTCTTACTTTCCCCTACACCTACTCGTAAGTAAATTCTACCTATACCCCTTAAGATCTGATGGTTTCAAGTACTATTTTTGTACTGTTTGGGGGGGGTGACAGGAAAGCAGGAGAAGGAAAAAGAAGTAACACAAAAAGAAACTAAACGTTTCAGCTGTTAAAAGATGACCTGGTTAGGGAATCCGCTGTGGGTGACAAAGTCCAAAACAATTCTGTGCCTGAAACTGAAGGACTAGGTTTGTAGGACAAGGAATGCCCCTGTACTTAAAGAAGAAATCTTTTACCTCCACAGTTCCTACTCTCTCTCTCAGACTTCAAGGACATGCTGTACTTTGTACTGCGCATCTCAAAGTTCCCATTAATACGAGGGAGACCCAGCAAGAATCAGTTACATTGGCACATGTTACTCCATGAATTCTGATCCTTCCTCAAGTGTAGAAAATAAACAGAAAATGAGGAACTAAAAGGAAGGGGAAGGGATAAAAGAAGAAAGGTGGTGGAAAAAGATCCAAATGACACTACATAATTAGTGCCAAAAGGTAAGTAGGTAAAAAAAAACTAGTATGCAAATAACTAGAAATTAACTCGCAGTTATAAATATTATTGCTACAAAATACTAGATATTAACTTCTTTTTAATCACTTGAACTTCCTTTAAAATTAGCTTACCAGAATCATAGCTTGGAGGCTTCATATCTCCCTGATTCAATTCTGTCCCATATTTCAACTTGTGGTATTTGGCTCTAACAAAAAAATGAGAAAATACAAACGATCTTAAAACATATTTAAATAAACTTTTAGATATGCAATAGGAGTAGTCATCAGTATGCAGCAGTCCTAGCTAACTTTCAAAGGCTCATAGCCTTCCAAAGTGTCAAAGTCATAATACAGAAGTGTCTGCCATTATTATTTTGTTGTTATACCATCAGGTGCTATTATAACAAATAAATAGCTAACACTGGGAACCATACATCTTCCTTCTATACTTACTAATGAACCATATTAACATGCTAGTTTTCGTTGTATTCAAATTTTCTTAATAACTACCACAGTATACTTCTATTATCAAAAGCAGTAGATAAGTTTGGATTTAAAATAAACTTGTATAAGACTAACCTTTTCAAAATCGAGTTTTTTAAAAAGAAAAATCATCTATAATACTTTGTGCCTTGTCAGGCAATTAGGATTTACCAAGTATGCATTATATTGAACAATCCAAAGGAGGGAGGGGGAACCAGCCCAAATCATGAATGTTGAATAAGATATTGAGGCAGGAGTGAATAATTTTTTTTAATAGTCAAAGTATCCTCTGCCTTTTCAGGAAGAACTCAGGAAGAACCATGAACAGGAATTCTTGTCTATCTTCTTTCAAAAGCTATATGAATGTTATTATTTCTGGTTAATCTGATTTAACCATCTCAGATTTAATCATCTGAAACCAGAAAAATAATCCAGAGGAGGTAAAAAACTTTAAGGTTAACTAAAAATGGCCATACTTCCTTAATGCACTTGTATATTTTGACTTGTTTGCTTTCCTGAAATATTGAGGCCATTTACAATAAATATTCACTATAATGAGACTGGGATAATAATAATTTGAAAATCTAAATAATAAAGAAGTAATAAAAGAGTAACATAGTCAAATCTGAAAGTTATTTTTTGAAAGTTCTTTTTATCTTTATAAAAAACTAATTGAGAATTTACTATAAAGTTTTTATATTTCAAGGAAAGTATAAAGAAAATGAAAATTATTTGCTTGAACGTATGAAGTACTGGAATTTTTATTTTATTTTAATGCTTTAATTTATCTTTCTGTTGAAAGTATTACAGATATCCCCCTTTTATCTCCCCATTGATCCCCTCCACCCTGCACCCTGCCCCCCCCCTTCCAGGCGAAGTACTAGAATTCTTCATATTATTTTGCAATAATTATTTTGCAGTTACAACAGAAAAGTCAATATTTTATACAGAGGGGAATCTTAAGAAAACCTATAAAAATTATAGACAGCTGATGTTCTATTTCTTAGGGTAAGTGGTGGGTACATCAGTATTTTTTATATGTATTTATGTTTTGCATATATAAAAAATGTTTTATAATATGTACCCATTTAAAAAAAAATGTTTGTTTGCTAATGTGGATTGATCTCTAAGTTTAAGTAAAACAACAAAGTACAAAATACTATGTACATAAGTATTTTATACATATGTTATATATATTTCATATGCACTGAATATTTCTGGAAGGATACATGATACATAAAACATCAATTACAAAGATTTCCTTTGGGAAGGGAAATCAGTGAACTGATGCATAAGGGAGACTATTTTCAGTTATTTGGCTAATTAACCATATGTATATATTTCTTTTAAAAAATGTTAGTAAATATTTTGTCCCAAATTATTTAGAACACCTTTTTCTCTATTCCCAATGCTTCTCTTAATCAAAGATTTCATCACCATACTAAGCACTTTCTAGTCTATCTCAGTGTATTTGTAATAATGTTGATTATAAGAGGATAAGATTTATAGCCATTAAATTGACTCAAAGTAACAATATCTCCTAGAAGTCAAAACAGTAATTGAAAGTGACTGGCCTGAGGACAGAGTTCAACTAACAAAATTTTATGGAGTTAATTTATATATATTTTTTATATACATATAAAGAAAAACATTTTCAAACACAACATACTGCATTATAGTGCATTCTAGTGGTCTTAGGAAAAACTGCAACAGAGCTACAAAAAGGAACAGAAAATATTCTATGCAATATATATAACAAAAATAATAAAACACTATGTACTAACACTTCATAAAAAATTAGACAAAGACAAAATAAGTAAAGAACTGCTATGTTTATGAGCTGAGTTCCCTTAAAAATAATGTCATCGCACCCAACAACTTACTGAATTCTTATAACATGCCAGGCACTGCACTGGCTGCTATAAATAACCTGCAGCTTGCAATCAGTTATAAGGGTGGAGGCAAGGAGATGCCTAAGAGATAGAAATGTAAATAACTAACTATATCACACTGTGGGTTAAGAGCTGGGAGTTATATCAACTGTTATAGGAATTCAGATAAGGAATTATCTCATTCTGTCAAAGGTGGTGTCAAGGAGGCCTACCAAAAAGAAGGTAGTAGTAACACATGAGATTTTAGCTAAACCTCAAAATACCATTAGTTTCCCAATCAGACAAATGAACTGATGGACAGGGCATTTCTGACAGAAGAAAAATCTTAAAAGTTCCTCAAATTTAAAACCATATGTGTGTGTGCATATGAAGTAGGTCAGAAAACAGCTGTGTGTGTGTGTGCATGCGTGCCATGTATGTATGTGTATGTATAAGACTAGAAAGGGGCCTGGATGTAAAAGGTTTTACTAAGAAGAATTTTGAAATTAGCCGGATATTTTTAAGCAGGGATATAACACCTGTGTTTTAGAAAATGAGTGCAATGGACAAAGAATGTCTAGGAGCTCTAATTCACAAAGAAACACTTTTTTATTCCTTAATTTATTATACTTCAAAAGGGCCATTACATCAAGAATAATCTCAAATCAGTCCATGAACTTCAAAAGATACAAAATCAAGGACTCTTTTCCAGGAAAATCCCATTAGTTAAAAAACAAAAGCAAAAACAAAACACTTCCCTAGACCAAGCCAGTTCTTTATCTCCTCTGTTCTCCAAAGTCAAACTACTTGAAAGCTAAGAGACTGATCTGTCTCCACGTTACCTATTCTTCTCACCCCGAGTCCCCTGTGATCTGGTTCATGTTCCTGCTACCTCACTGAAGCTGTTCTGCAAGAGTTCCAACAAGCTCCTAACTGGCAAATCCAAATGACTATTTTCAGTATACAATGTACTTGGAGTCTGTCTGGCACCTGCAATTGTCAAACTCCCACTTTCTTTCGCTCTCGCCTTCCTTCTCCAACCATTGTTTTGTTGGCTTTTCTTCCTCTGCATTTTCTTCAAACACTTCCATTTCCTGTGGCTCCTGGGGGTTCTCTTCTCTTCCCAAAATATTTGTTCTTCTTGTCTCAACTACTTCTATAACTTTACCCACAACACTGATGTATACATCTCTAGTCATGAATCCCTCCCATTATTTGCTTTTAAACCCTTAATTCTTACCCTTAATTCATTCAGTAACTTCCAAAACTCACACTCAAGCCAGCGCCTAGGAACCACTCTTGAATTATCTTTCTTCCTCCCCCTAACCAATCATCTTCCAAACTGTATGGATTCTTTCTATTTAAAATGTTTCATAGCTGATGCCTCCTCTAGTCCTGCGAGCTACTCTGCTACCATTTCTCATCCTAGACTATTAAAATCTTCCTGCCTGTATTAACAGACTTTCCCAGTCCATCCCTCACAGTGAGGTCAGAATGATCTTTCTAAAATCTATTTCACACTATTCTATGCTCAAAACCTTTCAATTGCATGACAACTAAATGCAGTATGTACTCCTAGACCAGGAAAAACAACAACAAAACCACCTATAAAGATCATTATTGGGACATTTGGTGAAAAAATGCTAGAAAGATCATCACTGGAACATATGAGTATGGGCTTTGTTAGATAATGGAACAGTATCAACATTAAATTTCCTTAATTTGATAATAAGCTTAATTATACAATGGAATGTTCTTGCTTTTAGAAAATATACACAGAGGAATTTAGGGGAGAGGGACATAATGTCTGCAACTAAGTAGCAAATGATTCAGGAAAAAACAATATGTTGTAGTGTGCGTGATGTGGTCAAACTGATGAATCTGGGTAAATGGTATACAGTTCTTGAAACTTCTATTAGCCTGAGGTTATTTTAGAAAGTTTTTGAAAACTTTCAATATTCCTTATTATGTGTAAAAGTTTCAATTCCTTAGTTAGGCTCTCAATGATCCCTTATCAAATCACAACTAATGTCCTTCCCTCCAATACATAGTAATTACAAATTTCTGAACACACCGAGCTGCTTGACTCCATTTCAAACATATCTTCTCTACTTCCTGAACCTTGCCTATCTGGCAAACACATTATTTTTTATGATGATATTCAAGTCCACCTCCTCTAATTACACCCTCCTTCCTACTTCCACCTTCCAGACAGAAGCAAGCAGTCCCTTCTTTGTGATCACACTGTATCCTATACAGACTTCTCCCACAGCACCTAGGAGGCTGCACTCCACTCTGCAGTTTCCAGTTACTCTAAGCCCGTAAGGACAAGGATTATGACCTGTGCTTATACTCAGGTCCAGCACAAGTGCCTAAATTGGATGGACAGATTAGTATGTTTAATGAGAAGGGACACACACACACACAAACATAAACACACAAAATATTCTTGGTTACTGTAGTGTATTTCAATTCTTCTGTCTTACAAGATACTATAATGTACTGGTAAAGAATATAGGCCTCAGAATCAGACAGACCTGAGATCTGAAGCAGAGCTCTATCTAACTGCAGCTCTACCCAGTCACTTTGTTTTTAAGCCTCAGGGCCTGCAACGTAGTAGTTAAAACATAGTGGCCATTTTAATATTACCCTCTCTCTTCGCTTATGCCTGTAATTTAGACAGCTTAAAATCTCAAATATTCTCATATTACTACTTTTAAAAGTATGGGTTTTTTTTCCATTTCCCTGATACAGTTTTCAATTAACTTCTCAAGGAAAAGAATTGCCTATTTTTCACTAAGAAGTCAACCTGTTTTCAATCTCTTGTGCCATTTAAAGATGCCACATGAAAGTGAACACAAGTTCAAATAAAGTTTTATCTATTTATTAATATTCATAAATATCATCTAAATGTTATTTTACGGTAGTTTTGCAACAGCCCATTCATCAACTTCAAAATAATGAGAAAAGAATGTGATCACGAAAAACAAAGCAAAACAGCCCTGACCGGTGTGGCTCAGTGGTTAGAGCATCAGCCCATGCACCGAAGGGTGGCAGGTTCGATTCCCAGTCAAGGGCACATACCCAGGTTGCAGGTTGGATCCTCCGCCCTGGTTGGGCCTGTGCAGGAGGCAACCAATGGGTGTGTCCCTCTCACAACGATGTCTCTCCCTCTCCCTCCCTCCCTCCAACTCTCTCTAAAAAGCAATGGAAAAAATATCCTCAGATAAGGACAAATAAGTAAATAAAGCAAAACAGAGAGTTTTAGTACCACCTATCGAGTACTGAGACAAAGAGCTGTTTCACACGGCTGACACACAGAAATCCAGAGACTATCATCCGTTAAAGCAGATAAACCTAATTTACGTGAAAACTTCCAAAACTCTCATCTATGACCTACAACTTATGACCCAAGTTTTGTTACTTGAGTATCTCAAGACACCAGCAAACTAGAAAGGTAAGGTTTGCATCTGGAGAAATAGGAATAGCTGATAGCAAAAGAAAAAAATACCAAGAAACTCTAAAAAAAGATTCTCAACACACTCTGCTAGAGCAATGTTTTCCAAAGAAAATACATCAAATTGAATATTAGATGGTAAGAAAAGGGTTGCAAGCATTATAGAATTTTCTTTACAACTCAAAAACTATTTCAATTACATAAAGAAATGGAAAATAATAGCTCAGTAAGTACATGTTTCTTAAGAAAGAAACATAAGTCAGCTTATTGTTCATTATTAAGTGTTAAAAATAAAACTAAGCTAACGTATTACAGCACTGAGAAAGGTTTGTTACAGATGACATTTCCTGAATTTGGAAGCGCAAAGCATGAGCGTGCAGATGTGCCTCAGGACAGGAGGACAGCACGCCCGGCTCGGCGCCCGCTCCGCGGTTACCTCTCCTGCTTCAGCGCAAACTCCAGCATCTTGATTCTCCGCACAAGGTCCTTTTTCAGGTTTTCCTGACCCTTCCTTTCCCCCTGAAGGAAGGCGATCTGCGCCTGCATAGGGAAGAGAAAGATAAAACTCAGTGTAGAGCAAATACATTTTAAAAACTCGGCCGAGGAAAGAGCCTTTGGAGGATAGGACACTAGATGAAGAACATTTCCTTTACACATCCACACAGAGTATCTAAGCATATATATAGGAAGGCACTTACTGCAAGTGGGAAAAAGCTCAATTATTTTTTTAAAAAGGACATCTATATACATTTTACTTCAGACTAAGGAGGTTACAAGACACAGTCCATATCCTCCAGAGTCTATAATCTACAACCACCAATAAACACAGACAGATGCAAAGTATACAGTATAGTGTGTTCAAGTGTTTGTCTCCCAAGGCATTGGGGTTTTCCTCTTTTATAAAGAGTGAAGATGGGGAAAGAAGGAAAATCACGAGTGAAATCATGAGTTCGTATAACACCCTCGCAAAGTAAGAGTTCTGAGAGCGTCACCACCTACTTACATTTAGGAGGGACTCCTTGTCGTGGAGAGACTTTATCCTAGACCTCCCCTACAAACATTCCACGCTCCCACCCCCATTCTTTACATTTAATATGCCGGGGGGGG